TTGATACATAATTTGGTAGATTGATAGACTGATCGATTTTTAGATAGATAGAAAAATAAACAGACATGCATAGATAGATAGATAGATAGAGAGAGAGAAAGAGAGAGACAGACAGACAGACATACAGACAGACAGAAAGACAGACAGACAAACAGACAGACTGACTGACAGGCAGGCAGACAGATAAATGGAAAAATATATAGGCAGAAAGATAGATAGATAGATAGGTAGAGAGAGAAAACGAGATAGAGAGATAGAGAGCGAAAGAGCGAGGAAGAAAGGAAACATACAGACAGATAGACAAATCAGTATAAAGAGATTGAAAAGAAATTGAGAACCATATGGCATTTTAATGTCTAGTAGAATATAGTAATAAATCATGTTATTGCATTTTGGAACCAATCTTTAACCGAGTATAATTGTATCTTCATAGAACACTATTTCATCCTTTATGTTTTAACATTATAACAAATGCTATGTAATAACATATTTTGGAATGACTACTATAAGCACCGCAGTATATACGAACAGTAACATATATATATCTATCCTACCACGAAGAAACAGTCCATTTAACACTGATCATGACTAATTGTTGTGAAAGTCTACGGTACGGTTCAGCCATGTTTCATTTACTCCTGTCGCTAGAATTATTTTCAACAGTATGTTTTCATACGAAATTTAGTATCATTAGAATTTACGACAATTGAGTTCACAGACATACAGACAAGCTGACAGAAGGAGAAAATTGAACACATACGTATTTATACACATTGGTGTAAATAAGAAACGACACCGAAAAATTCCAAACACACCTACGAACGGGTCCATTTCTTTGTTTACAGGCGCAATGCGAGACAAAACCATTACGAAGACTTGACAGTTCTGTTGTATCTGGCAGGAAAAGATAGCGCCTTTCTCATCCGCTTATTTGTTACTCTTGCCGACAGCTCTTTTTAAAGGGACACAAAAGATGTTTATGATATTGGCTTATATATACATACATATATATACATATTCATATATTAGTCATAGACTAATATGTGTGTGCGTGTGTGTGTGTGTGCAAATAAATTCCAGCCAAGGTCTAGACAGAACAAAGGAAAATCGAGCAACATCAAGTTTATATATTCTAAAAAAAAGTTTCGATCATTAAAGAGAGAGAGTGAGAGAGAGAGAGAGAGAGAGAGAGAGAGAGAGAGAGAGAGAGAGAGAGAGAGAGGAGAGAGAGAGAGAGAGGGAGGGAGGGAGGGAGGTAGGGAAATTGTTCAGAATTACTTGTAGTTAAAATACGACAGGAGGTACTCAACATTTCACAATCTTTATAGAAATGTTTTTGACATTCAACCTTATTTCAATTTTAGGTTGTAGTGACAATAGAATAATATAAAATTATTTCACACCTGTGCATAGCTTTAATCAAACTATGCTAACTATTCCAAACATTTTAAGAAGTTTAGATTTCACATTACAACTTCCTCAAGGAAATGATTACTCTCTAGATCAACACAGAATCCATTTCGAATATATTTAGATGCGTATATATCCTGGCTATCGAAAATATCAGTTTAAATTTTCAATTTAAAATTCATTTATGTACAAAGAGGAAAAGGAAATCTAGAAATCTATTGTCATTCGACAGCAAGGTATCAATAGTGCCAATGTTAAGTACGAAGATTAAGTAATGATAATAACAATATTGATGATGATAATAATAATAACAACAACAACAACAATAATAATTATTATCATTATCAATTAATGGTTCAGAAAGGAGAAGAATGAGAAAGGTTTGTAGACTATTTAAATATCTCTTCTGCATAATGATTATAAGTAGAAATTAAAAATATACATGATTTGAAAAAGATACACCAAAGGTCACCCAAAAAAGTTCATGGTAATATTTACAGGATTATGATTTTTCTATATTTTGTACTGTATCCCTGGTTTTTATTCAATTTGCATAAAATGTCATTTCAGCCGAGGGTAGTTGTTGAAAGACAATGAATATCTAGCTACTGCATTAGATAACAATAAGCAACACAATGCAAAAATAATACTTAACTTACCATAGTGCTTAACATAAACAGGACTTAACTTAATAATACAGTGAATACCAACACGGCTAGACTCCAACCTAGAGATATATAATCCTAACATATGAGGGTAAGAAGTCAAATTAACATATGATTAAGAAGAATTGCGATATCCAAGGGTGCTTTATTAACGAGCCAAGATGATGCACGGTGTCTGAACGGTGAGAAATGGGCGATATCTCGACAGCTCTCTTAGACCATTTAATTATCTCTCGACGAAATGAAGCTTCCGAAACAATCTCGGTCGTGCGCCTAATGCGACCGAATGACGTTAATGGCAATTGAAACAAAGGTAACTCTGATTGCGCAAGAAGGCAGTCATGGATAGGAGGTCACGTCCTGGGAATGGAACGAGAGGGAGAGAGTAACCAAGATGTCTCGAGGAACGTAAATCCCCTTAAAGT